GGTGACCCTGTGTTGGCATTTGAGAGAATCCCTGAGTTCTAAAATGGCGAGCTTAATCAATCCATGCTCCCTCCTTGGGATGTTCTGCCTCTCTTCCCTTTTTGGTACATTAAGGGAAAATCAATGTTCCAATAATACATTTTTCTAGAAGCTAATGACTTGGAACTTGAGCTGTTTTTTGTGATTTATACCATAAGCATGCAATAGTATATATTGAACTATGTATCTTCTCATAAAGCTAAAATACTTGAACATAGTTGACTACAAAAGGATTATTGAATAAAATATCAATATAGAAGCATATTTAAACTTTAGTAAGGCTTTTATTTGATACAATATGCATTTTCATATATTTGAACTAACACTACCTTCTGAGAAATCTTGAATGTTTTATATATATCAAGTATATATTTAATTCCAAAACAATAATTACGTTATTGGTACATGTGCTTAGAAGTTTTGGCACAAAGACAGATAAGAGCCATTGTTTCAAACAATGTGGGTGTAGTTTCCCAGTACCAAATGAGTCTTAAATTCTTCAATTTTTTTTTTTGGTCTTTTTGAGACAGGGTCTCCCTGTAGCCCCAGCTGTCCTGGAACTTACTATGTAGATCAGGCTGGCTTTGAACTCAGAGAGATCCACCTGCCTCTGCCTCCCGAATGCTGGGATTAAAGGCATGCGCCACCATGCCCGGCCTAAATTCTTCAATTTTTAACTAGAAAGAAGTCTTGAAGATTGGAATAGATCTCCTGTCTTTTAAGTGAACCCTTATTTTCACATGGATCCCTGCTAAGGAGGTTTTTGACTTATTATTTAACAGCAAAAAAGTCAATAAACTAATGCTCTTTAAACAGGAGCAGTGAGTAATCTGCAGGGCACAGGCTCGAGCATGCTTTCGGTCAGTCGTACAGTGATGAGTGAGCATCCATTTCCTAGGCAGCTTCCGCCTCTCTGCTCAGGATTTGGAATCCTCTAGTTGTCACAGGTGGATCGTTTACTGGCATTCTTCCAACGTTCTTAAGGGATTATTGCTCCTTTACTGTTGGCTGTTTTGATTTTCATGACGGATTAAAGGGAGTTATGATACTTCAGGTCTTTCCATGCACTCTATTCCTCAGCATCTTTCAATATTTGTGTTAATGGGTAATGTCAAGGAAATAAAAACAGTAAGAGTTCTGAAGCAACTCAAGATGCTATGACATGAAGATAAAAGCATTCTTCCTCTACCATGGGCTAGCAGACTAGACCTGGATCTTGCTTAAAATATATATATATATATATATTTAACAACACTGCTTGTATTTAAGCATTTACATTAATGGTATCTCCTGTTTTCAGTAAAGCCAGCTTTACAAATGTTATTTTTAAATTAATTAATCTTTTGACACTGGGTCTCCTTATTTTGTCGCCTAGGCTGGTCTGAAACTTACTGTGTAGCTCAGGCTGGCCTTAGCCTCTCAAGTACTGGGATTATATGCCTGATTTATAAGTGTTTATTATTGCCCCAACAAGACCAATTTTCATTTTAGGTCTTGGGTATGTTTTGTATTCATTTTATGGACAGCTCTTCTTTTGGTTGGTTTTGAAAGTTTTCTTAATCTTGGTTGGTAGTGTCTTCATGGTTAAACTAATAAAAAGATGTCTTCATTAAAGCAGCAAGAATAAAGCTTTTTGTATTCATGACAAAAGAATGAATTAAACATATTTACCTGATGTGATCTCAGGTAAGATGATGGGAAGAATTTTTTTGTTTAGTTAGTTCATAAGATGGCTTAGGAAATGGAGATTTCCAACTACACAGTAATTATCAGTACTTATTAAATGCTCAAGATTAGTATGTTTGATACCATTTCTAATTTAGGTGCTTTATTCAGGTGTGTGTGTGTGTGTGTGTACATTCATGTATGTGAGTGTGAGTATGCACATGCCATAATGCATAGGTGGAGGTCAGAGGACAACCTTGAGTGTTGGTCCTCACCTTCTACTTTGAGATAGTCTCTTGTTGTTCACTGCTGTGTACATAAGGCTAGTGGCTGGCGAACCTTCATGGCCTCTCCTGTCTCTGCTTTCTGTCTCACCATAGGAACACTGGGATTACAGAGGTGTGTTGCTGTGCACAGCTATACATGGGCTCTGGGAATTTGAACTTAGGTCCTCAAGCTTGCACGACAAGTGCTTCAGCCATTGAACCACCTCCCAAGTTCTCCATTCAGATTTTTTTTTTGTTTTTTTTTGGTCTTTTTTGAGACAAGGTCTGGTCTGGAACTCACTATGTAGACCACCAGACTGACCTCAAACTCACAGAGATCTGCCTGCCTGTGCCTCCCAAGTGCTGGGATTTAAGGCCTGCTCTACTACACCTGGCATCCTCCATTCAGGTTTTTTTTTTTTTTTTTTTTTTTTTTTTTTTTGGCTTTTTGTTGGCTGATTTTTGACGGGGTCTCCCTAGTCACAACCCACCTGGAAGTTACGATGTGAACTAGGGTGACCTTGATCTTGTAGGGATCCACCTGCCTCTGCCTTCTGAGGGCTGGGATTAAAAGTTCACGTGACCATGCCCGGCCTCCATTCAGATTTTTAAGCAGGGGTTTTCATTCAAAGTGTTGACTCTGAAGTTAATTTTTAGCACACCACATAGAAAAATTGGAGTGTGGAACTTCAGTACTAATTTGGTATTAGAATATAAGAAATAGAGTTTTTAAACAGTAGCTTTTAGGTCTGATTGAACAGAGACAGATGGGCCTTGCTAAAGCTTCCTCTGGATTATAGTATGACACTGGATGAGGCAAACACATTGCTTTCTGATTCTCTAACTACCCAGGTACTATCTCTCCATCTCCTTTCCTCACTCACCCTAGCTCCCTCTCTGGACTAGTCCTAGTCCCTTGTGACTCACCCCAATACTTCGGTCATCCTTTGTGATGCCAACTAGTTCGATCCTTCCCCTACTTTGCTTCTTTTTTCCTTTCTCTTTTTTAATGCCTATATCTATCATTTGGCATAAACCTTACCACATAGTAGGATTCTGACAGAAACCTACCTGAATAAATGAATAAATGTATTCTATATGTGAAGGTATAGTAGCAAACACAGAAGTTAAATTTGTCATCAGGATTTAAAGGGTGGGGCTACTTCATTACATATACCTAGTAAATATAAAGGAAATAGTGCCATGTTTTAAAAATGTCCCTTAATACTGAGAACAAAGGAAATTCTTTTTCGTGTGGAAATGAATAGTGAACGTGAACGTGAAAGTCATTTCTGACTGTGCTACAAGCCAAGTGATTTTTTAGGTTGTCCTTAAAAAATACTTTTGCTGTTTTGAAGGGCATTTCCTTAATTTTAGAATTTCTGAATCATGGCAGTTGTGAAGGAGGAGTATGCTGGTCTGGAAAGATGGAAGAAGCAGCTAGTCTTGACATCAAGTCTGTCCTGTCCATAGGCAACCTTCTCTAAGTACCCACACAAATCTACAGGGTACCCACACAGGTCTCCTGCGGGGTACCCACACAGGTCTCCTGCAGGGTACCCACATGGGTCTCCTTTGGGGTACCCACACAGGTCTCCTCCTTTGGGGTACCCACACAGGTCTCCTCCTGCAGGGTACCCACACAGGTCTCCTTCGGAGTACCCACACAGGTCTCCTTCGGGGTACCCACACACACAGGTCTCCTGTAATCCCTCATCATTTGCTGAAACTCTTGAAATGTTGTTTTCAGTCATCCTTTGCTTCAGATCTTGAAGGGTGTTTAGCCTCAGACCCCTTTAAAGGAAGAGTGCCACAAACCCATAGTTTTTGAGGATTTGGAGATATGTGACTAAGAACAAAGCCTTATGGGCATAGGATAGAAGCTAGATATCCTGAATGTGGGGCCTTAGGGGGCAGAACATTGCTGGAAGAAGGGAGAGGTCACATTGCCAACAGCAGGACGTGAACTTGCTTCCAAACCAGCTTAGAGCTGGCCTCCAGGAAGAACCACAGCCACAGCTATGCCAAGAAGTTCCCAGGGGGCCAGTAAGATGACTCATACAGGCCTGACCACCCAAGTTCAATCCAGGGAACCTACATAAGGGTGATGGAGAAAACCAACTCCACAATGTTGTCCTCTGATCTCCACATGCACACTATGACACAATATTCCTGTATACATATCACACATACACAAACGATAAATACATAAAATTAAACTTAATAAAAGAGCTCCAGAAATTCTACAGAACTTTTTCCTTTTCCTATAGTTTTTTAAGATTTATTTTTATTTTTAAATTATGTGTATGGCATGTGGTGGCACACGCCTTTAGTCCCAGCACTCAGAAGGCAGAGGCAGGCAGATCTCTGTGAATTCAAGGCAATCCTGGTCTACATAGTGAGTTCCAGGACAGCCAGGGCTACAGGGAGATCTTACCTCAAAAAGACAAAATAAATAACAAATAAATAAATAAATAAATAAATGTATATGTGTGTGTCTGTGTGTGAGTATGTGCGTGTGAGTGCAGATGCCCACAGAAGCCAGAGGCGTTGGAGCCCTCAGAAGCTGGAGCTACAAGTGGTTATGAGCACAGGATGTGGCTGCAGGGAACGGAACTAGGGTCCTCTGGAAGAGCAATGCCTACTCCTAACCACTGAGCCATCTTTCCATGCCTTCTATAGTTTTTTTGGAGGGTGTTTATTACTTTCAAACTTGTCTATGCTCTCTTTTTTTAAGTCAGTTAAAAAGGCATTTGCCTTCAGAAAATATACAAACTTTCCTCCAAAATCAGATACATTATCAAATTTAATAAAATTATTTTAGAACTGTGTATAATTACTTTGGCCTTTAAACCATTTATATAAGGCTTGTAATACATAGGGACAGATCATTAGGTTAAAATCACTAGAGACTGACATTTTTTATATTTATATAAAGCATAGTTTGAAAAATATCCAGAAAAAAATCAAAAGATCAGAACAGTGATGGAGTTATTTTTCAATGTCAAAGATTTTCAAAAACATACTTACCCCATTTGGATTGTTGACCCCAGAAACGAGGGTATGCAGTAGTCAGCAGCTGCCAGTGTATATGGGGGTCGAGCGGCAGAGTCATCCCAGTAAATGTCCTTCTTCATCTTGGGTAAGCTCATGTGCATTTCATCCACAGCTAAAAGAGAGACCTAAAATCATTGTCATAGTGTTAGAACAGCTCAGGTGTGAGGAAGTTCCAGCAGGTGGAGGGGAGTTGAAGAACAACGTTACACGGTCTAGGTGAATGGAAAGACAATGGCCTAGGGCACTAACTTGCTTCAATGAGGGAAAGCTGTACTTGCCTTTTGATGCTCAAGAACAGCTGGCAATGGCGTAAGTGGGGCTGTCCAGCTGCCCACACTCTGCCCATCGAGCTACACTCCCCAGGATGGAGCTTCATATCATCTGTGGGGGAGCAAGATACCTTTCTCTTTGCTCAGTTATAGTTTTGAAGACTAAGAAGTGACTCCCCAACCAGCCACCACTCAACACCAGACAATGTAGTACTTCATTCAGAGCATCTCACTACTTCCAGAAACACACTTCCGCCTCATCAGTTCTTTTTTTTCTTTCTTTTTCTTTTTTAAAATTTATTCATGCTGTCAATATGCAGCCTTGAATTTGTAATTGTTCTACCTCATTCTGCCAAACGCCAGAGTTACAGATGTATACCACCCTGCCTGGCTATGCTTGTGTATTTGGAAAAGCGGCTTATCAACAGAACTAGTGATCTCTCTTTTCCTTGGCTTTAACAAAGTGAGACATAATTAATCCTCTGGGAATCCAGTTTTGAAAGAGTGAGAAACACTATGCTTCTTCCCTAACAGACTGGCAGGGCTTCAAACAGATGCATGCAGTGAAGGTCCTTTGACAGGGTTCTGACAAGAGTCGTGCCTAGAAGATGCTGGTGCTTTATGAAAAGCTTGCAAGAATAGTGCTTTGGGGTAAGGGGATCCATTAGTTTGGCCCTATAGATGTGAGAAAGAGGCAGTCACAGCCTGTGCTCTTGTCCTGTACAACTGATTACTGGGGTCTGTGGGCTACGTGTTCAGGAATTCACAGCAGATTATGCCTGGATACCACTTATGTCACTGTTAATCTCTCCTGACAACGATTCAAAGTGGATGAAAGAATAAATTAAAATATTACTGGCAATGGTGTAGATATAAGAGGATTGGTAAATCGAACAGAAAGTTACAGGGAAAAGTCAACTTGAAATTCTACTTAAATTGCTCTAGAACTGAGATCCAGGACATGTGAGGTTCCAAAAGGATCTATTTAATGCATATCCAGACTTCTGTCATTTGTGGTTAAAGTTCTGAAGTCCAGGGATCTACATCCAGAGTCTGTTTACACTGAAGATATCACATGTGATTTACTGTTAATGTTCACAAAGAAAAGTTCCTCTCACCTGCAGGTTTCTGTCAATGCACCAGTTCGTTTCAAAGTCATCGTCATCTTCTCCAAAAGGGTTGATAAGCTGCTCAGCAACCTGCAGGTGAGAACACAGAATAAATCTTGTGAGGACCAAGACAGAGCTTGATGTTGATTCCCGCTCCAGTCTCTCCTTCCCTTGTCACTTATAATATGAAGCCTACAGGGGAGTGGGCTGTTCCACAAACAGATTAGCAAGTGAGACTTTTCTGTACTGTAAATGACTGGGCATACTCTGCAAACGGACGTGTCTGTTCATCTAGAGACAAGACTGCCCTGTCCCAGACATACTGTGTGCCTACAAGAGCCAGATCAAACCAGTGAATACCCAAGGGCCATTAACTACATGTAAGGCACTGTAATGTACATCATCTGAGCTTTAAAGGCATTTCTAAAGGCCCAAGTTTAAATAGCAAAGAAAGATAAATCACAATTAAAGGCAATAAAGGACAATTTTTGCAATTACCAGACATAACTCCTGCTCAGTGACTGAATCTGAGAGCCATGATCAAGCTGGAAACTGAGGCTTGTTTAGTTTTACCCTGAAGATTTAGCCTTATCTAGTAAGGTGGTTTTCCTTTTGGGAAAAGTTTAGTTGACTTATCATATAGCATCTAATATTTGGTCAATATTAAAATACTGTGTTCCTGAATTGAATAGCCCTTTTGATGAAGGGTTTATATGTCCAAATATGACTTTTTGAATAATTTTCTTTGATTCAAAAAAAATTACTTGTGTATGTAAGAGATAGAGATTTTACATTGGTTCCAGACTGGGGAAAAACCACTGTGAGTGAACAAAATAAAAGTATCATTTGATTACTTTCTAGATTCCCAGACCATCTGGTAGAAATTCTAGCCACCTTGGGCTGGGGAGATGGTTAGCGGTAAAGAGTGCTTGCATTGCAAGCATGAGGATCTGAGTTCAAATTCCCAGCACCCATGTAAAAAACCAGGTATGGCACCCTACATCGAGAGGATGAAGCCAGGTAGATCTGGAGAGCTCACTGGCAAACCAGCATGCCAAAATGGTGGGATTCTACTTCAGAGAGAGACTGTCTCAGGGTAATAAGGTGGAGGGTGACATAGGAAAACAGTAGTTACTGTGCTCTGGCCTCCCTATGCATATGCATGAATGTCTGCACCTCCACACTCACTGCATGCAGCTCGCACGTACACCACACACACACACACACACACACACACACACACACACACACACACAATTTTTAAAAAAAGAAAATTAAGACATATGGCTTTTAGGATTTAAGTTAAACTTACAGTCATGATTTTCAACCTCAACTATGTATGAAAATCACCTGAGGAGCACAACAAAACAAGACAGAGCAAAGCAAAGTGAAGAAAAACCCAACCCAACCCCACAAACCAGATGCCTAGATCTCTTCCTCAGAGGCTCTGCTTTAGTCAGAGTGAGCCTGAGCCCAGGCAGCACTGAATAAAGCTCCCAGGGGGTTTTAGGACCTAGCAAGGTTTGAGAACCACAGAGAATTCATCTCCATGTTCTAAGGACAGCCTGGTCTGTACAACAGTAAGCTTTGTGGTATTGTCTGTGATGGTCCTTCACAGTCCCTTCTGAGGGACTATGTACCTTTTCTTTCTTTTTTAAGCTGTATGAGTCTTTTGCCTGCATATGTGTGAGTGCATCATGTGCATGCAATGCCCACAGAAGCCAAAAGAGGGTGTTGAATCCCCCGGAAATGGAGTTATAGATGGTTGTTAGCCACCATGCGGGTGTTGGGAACAGAACCCACATCTTCTGAAAGAGCAGTCAGTGCTCTTTTATGTTTTCTTTTATTTTTCTTTTATGTATATGCGTATATTGCCTGCATGTAAGTAAGTGCACCCGTGTTGTGCAATGCCCGCAGAGATCAAAAGAGGCTGTCGGATCCCCTGGAACTAGAGTTACAGACAGTTGTTAGCTGCCTGTGGGTGCTGGGATTTGAACCCAGGCCTTCTGCAAGAACAACCAGTGTTCTTAACTGCTGAGCCATCTCTCTAGCCCACTTGCTTTTGTGTTTATATTTCGACTTTTTTTTTTTTTTTTTTGAGACTGTCTTCCAGGAACCCTAGCTATCCTGGAACTAAAGGCATGTGCCACCGTACCTAGCTTCATATTTTTACTTTTAAAACACTTTCTAATGGGAAGAACTTTAGACATTTCACCAGAAGAAAGGAACCACTAAATTTCTTCATAGTTTGACTGAGTACCTATCATAGACACAGAGCAGACAATTAAAAGCTCAGCACAACTCAGGGGAAATGACAAAAACAACAAAACAGAATGGTAGAATGATTGAGCATTTATGGGCCAACTGAGGAGATTTTATGTAAACAGGTATACTCTGCTCTTTCCTATAATGGGAAATAACAACCATTCCTTATGAAGATTCAAACCAATGAAAGAACCAACATCTGTAGGGAAACTTTGCCCCAACCCGAAGGCCTGACCACAGGTGACTGGAAGGCCAACCATTGGGAAATTCTGTTTCGTTAGTCTTCTTGAAAGTATTATTAGAGTTTATTTTACTTAAGGGTGCCTTTGTGTTTGATTGTTCCTATTACGTATTTCAATTGATGGGGAATCAGGCCTCTGAGATTTATACATGTACACATCTGGGGAGGGCTGGGAGTGGTGGTAAGGATGATGGGATACACGATTCTACCCTGAAAACTGGAGAGCTATTCTCACTGTTTGGACCTGCTTTTAGATTCCTGGCAAGCTAAACACTGTCATTAATCCTGGTGGGTCTGGTTATAATTCTAATGAGCTTTTCCTGAACCTTGTTTCTGATTTTGAAAAGGGGATTTATTTACAGTGTGGGATAGCTAGTAGAACTTGGAGAATTGCAAATAATGATTTACAGAGTGAAGCAGGGCTAAGTTCCTACTACACTATTAAAGCTCGGGTCTGATAGCCAAGGCCGCCGCTGTACTGTCTTTTTGTCTGCCTAGTTGCTCATAAAATACCAACACAGGTGCAGTTATTACTTTAATTACATTATTGCAATCCTAATGGGACTCAATAACTGTGAGAGAATGCTCTTATATCTTTACATAATGAACCACTTCAGACAGCTGCAATCCAGCTTCCATACACTCCTGTCACTAATCTTTGATGGAAAAATAATCATATCTTTGAGCTATTACAAATTAAATCAGCCTTTGAGTGATTCCTGAATGATTTGCCAAAGACTCAGTAGAGGATCAGTGTGAAGAGTCTGGAACAAGAGACGCTAGAGACTCGGGCACCGAGACTGTTGGCTACCTTGAGCCATCCTGCGTAGAAGAAGAACTGGAGGAGAGTAAAGATGGGAATGTACAGATCTAAGTCATGCCCCGCGTAGCCTTTGGTAGGATCCAAAAACTGCCGTCCAATCAGGCATGCAAAGAAGAAGGTGTAGACAGCAAGAGTGACAACCTGGAACAGAGAGAAACCAGAGTGAGAAGGCAGTGTTGGCTGCCCACAGGGGGCTACAGTGCAATGTGGGCAGGTGGGAATAACAATCATGTGCAGAGAGTTGGGGATGGCTGAGTTGGGAAAGTGCTTGTTGCACTTAAGGACCTGAGTTTGATCCCCAGCACCCACGTAAAAAACCAGGAATGGGGGCTTGTGCCTATAACGCCAGTGCTGGCTGGGGGTGGGGTGGGGGCAAAGACAAGATGATCCTGGAGAATTACTGGCTAGCCAGTTTAACTAAAAAATGGTGAGTCCCAGGTGAGACCTTGTCCCCTCAAATAAAGTGAATGGCTTAAGGAACAATACCCAAGATTTTCTTCTGACCATCATGCACATGTCTACATATGCATACACACACACATACACACACACACACACACACACACACACACACACACAATCACATCACATGCACAGTATTTGATACCTGTGTGTAAACCAGTGGAATCCCAACCCAGTCATAACCGAATAAGAGGCTGCACCAAGAGCGGTACCGATTCATTTCCTAAGCCAGAAACAGATAAAGCAGTTTACTAAAATGATGATGATGATAAAAGTAATGGCTAGGGTTCAAAACATGGGCATTTCTCATGAATATGTCTGCAAATGTTGGGACCAACTCTGTAAGGCTGAAAAATTGCCCTCAAGGCTGCCACTAAAGGAAAGTTCTGAGAATGAGAACCAGCAAACACCACCGAACGAGTTTTAAAAGAGGTGAGGGCATTTGAACAAATTTTTATAAATATTAAAAAATGGGACTTTATAAGGATAGACCCCCCTTTTTTTTTATCTTTTTGAGACAGGGTCTCTCTGTAGCCCCAGCTGGTCTGGAACTCGCTATGTAGACCAGGCTGGCCTTGAACTCACAGAGATCTGCTTGCCTGTGCCTCCCTAGTGCTAGTATTAAAGGCATGTGCCACCATGCCCAGCTAGACCCTGTTTTTTAATCCATAACTTCTAACATATGTATTGGCCCAAAGTGGTGATAGAAAGGTGATGGTTGATACTTTAAACAAGTGATTACTAGTTGTTTTGGTAAAAAATTTTGGCAATCATTTTTTTCTCCTTAAAAAACATGCTTATTATATATGATAGAAAAAAAAATCAGAAATGCCTCCTGCACCTCCCCCTCACCTCACAAATGGGGACTTTAAAATGGCCATATTGACATAAAAATCTGTCTGGAACAGGAAGGACTGAGATTCATTTATTGACTTCGTTCCGCTGTGCCACGTAAGTTATTATCTAAGACTGGGATCTAAGATCACCTTAATTTTAAAACTATTTTAGCCTCATCTAAGCACGAGACCTTCCTATCATATTAGAATATCTTGTGTACACTTCTCTCATGAATTCGGGGATCTTTCATGTAGTGGAGACACTGTTTTGTTCACTGGAGCAACTGAAAAACTGAGTTAAATGTAGATTACTCCAGTGTAGGGGGAAAGGTTGAGGTTTATTCTTGTTTGGGACTTTATTCTAGGTACTGGAGGTTTAGCTCCATGGTAGAGTGCCTGCCTAGCATGCTAAAAGCATTTTGGGTTTAAATCAAGATTCTGTTCTAGAATCCTGACGCAAGGGATGGCAAATATAGCCCATGGGCAGCAAGTACTATTATTCAGAGCCCTTAACAGCCCTTGGTTAACCCATTCTTACAGAGCCCCTCACAGAAATGGCAAATTCTTTCAAGCAATCTTAGCTCAGCCTGCATACTCTGTCCTACACAGTGTATGTTTTGATATTGGCCCAGGGTTACTAGTTCCTCCGACTCAGGAGTGAACAAAACAGACTTCTGGGTCTGACCTGTTACTTCCGGGGCCCTTGGGTTCTAATGAACATCTTTTACTGGTGGCTGAGGATATACTTACAGTCATCAAAGATTGTAGATCGACACTGTCTCTGATTCTACCTTCATTCCGGGCTTTTGTTGCAAGATTTCCAAACCAAATGAATGGAACCCAGTATTTCAAATGAGGTGATTTGAGGTTGTCAAATAATTTCCTTTCATCTGCGGTCATAAAACCTTTATACAAAATAACAACAGCTGGATTATACAAACTTAGTTAAGCATCAATACAATACCAAATTTTCAGTCTACTGTGTAAGCCTATTGGGGTGGGGAAGGGAGCTAAAGAAATATAAAGATTTCTGTCTCCGGTGGTTTATATTTGTTACAGATAAGGAATTGCACGAGAGTATGCATATGCACACACACAAGTGCATACACAGCTTGTATTTTTTAAAATTTTTAAAATTTTTATTTATTATTTTTATGTGTATGCATGTATTGCCTGCATGTAGGTAAGTGCACCCGTGTCCTGCAATGTCTGCGGAGGACAGAAGAGGTCGTTGGATCCCCTGGAACTGGAGTTACGGACAGTTGTTAGCTGCCATGTGGGTGCTGGGATTCAAACCAGGTCTTCTGCAAGAATAACCAGTGTTCTTAACCACTGAGGCATCTCTCCAGCCCCCACAGCTTGTATATTAATGTACCAAGCAATGCATCACCTTGGCAATCTCTAGTAGACAAGATAAGAAAGGAGATAGTAACTGGGTTCTGGAACACAGCGGACATGAGGCATGACCCTATTCAGGATCCCATAACTGAATGTGGGGGTTGCAAAAAAATTGGTAGCAGGTTTCTGAATGTGCAGCAATAAAATAATTCAAAATCAAGCATATAAAGACTCTGAGGTGTCCCTGGCAATGCTCACCCATGTATTTATGGGAAATACATGATCATTGATGATCATAAAATGATAATATTAATAACTGAAAAAGTTGAAGATGCTCTGCGTCATGCAGTATCAAATATTTAGCCAAGATTTAATTCCATATGTAAATGTAAACAAATTGTAAAAACAAACAAGCATATCCATCTCATTTGTATGTAATTTGTTGCTTTTTTTTTTTTTTTTTTTTTTAAGAAAGAGTTTCGTGTTGCCCAGGCTGACCTGGACTTTCTGATGTTTTGCCCTCACTTCACAAGTGCTGGAGTTGCATGTACCACCATGCCTGGTTTTTTTATGTGGTGCTTGGGATTGAGTCCAGGGCTTCTTGCTTGCTATGCGGACACTCTACCAACTGAGCTACATCCTTTGACTGTTTTCACTTGTTAAATTTTATTTTAGTTTATTTTGTGTGCATGTGAATGCCTGACTGTGTATATGTGCACCACATATGTGCAGGCAGCTGTTAGCCGCCATGTGAGTTCTGGGAATTGAACCCCAGTCCTCTGGAAGAGCAGTAAGTGTTCTTAACCACTGAGCCATCTCTCTAGCCCCAACTACTTTCATTTTCAATAAACAATAAAATTAGATGCATAGCAAAGAATTGTTTTAAAATAACTTCCTTTATGATTTATTATCAGCAAATGTTTGATTTTCATACATATTTTATATTCCTATATGGCTAGGTTTACGTAAAAATTTCTCCGGTGAAAAAGGGGGTTAGTGAGTGGAGAACACTGACAGAGCCGTGATCTAGAACATTTAGGGAGGTTTCTTCTTTTGATTTTGATTTATTCATCTAAAATTTGGAACAATAATACTTAGAACTGTTAGGGTTAAAAGCCTGAAATGGGGCTGGGCGTGGTGGTGCACACTTTAATCCCAGCACTCGGGAGGCAGAGGCAGGCGGATCTCTGTGAGTTCGAGGCCAGCCTGGTCTACATAGTGAGTTCCAGGACAGCTAGGTCTACGGGGAGACCCTGTCTCAAAAAGACCAAAAAAAAAAGTCTGAAATGTGATAATGTATACAAAGCTGGTAGCAAAGGGCTGAACACATCCACCCAGCTGCATCTTCTGCCCCCTGCCCTCTCCTTTCAACATAGAGCTTGATCACATCCCTTTCTGTGAAGTCTTCCTTGTCTCCTTCCTTCTCTCCCCCTAGGGATTTCTCCAATTTTAAAGCTTCCATGTGGTACTCTCTTGACTTGTATTATAGTAATATTGTAGATGATGAAAGGCAAAGAGTGCATCAAGCTCCATAGTCCCCCACAGCATTTTGCACATACTTTTGAAGTGTGTCTATAACTGCGTGTGTATAAAATGCAATTAGCTTGAGCTTGCCATAGCCTCCCTGAGCCTAAAGTTTTTCATCTGTAATAATTTCTGCTTTACAAGGATGATGCTAGGGATATAGAACAGTGTATGGCACTTGTTTAACATGCTTGAGGCTAGCACCCCACAGCGAAAAAAATTGCATCAGAGAGACACACATGGAAGCTGTTACTTGAGATGCTAAAGACACATAAAGATGTTAGCAAAATAGTTAACACACACTTAGCACTGGGTAAATGCTAAGAAATAATGTATTATTGATACTTTGGCTGGTTTACTCTTCTCCCTCTCTCTCTACATAAGGAAAGAAGAGATTTGCGTAAAAGAAGAGGAATACGGTAGTGGGTTTATTTAATAAGCACTTTAAATTTATTTTTATTATTTTAAATTATGTGCTGAGGAGGTCTGTGTAGGTGGGTGTGTGGGTACCTTTGGGGGCTAGAGGTGTCAGAACTGGAGTTGAAGGTGGTTGTGAACCACCAATATAGGTGCTAGCACCAGAATGCAGGTCCTCTGGAAAAGCAGTATGCCTCTTAACTGCTGAGCCATCTCTAATCAGCTTACTGTCTGAATACATCGGGCTCTGCTTATACAGAACTATGCTTTAAAAGTTTACAGTTGACACTTGATTTTAAAAAAAAAACATTTTATTAATTTAAATGATATAAATGCTCCCAAAAGGTAAAAGGAGTATTAAGAGAGAAAATAAGCCTCATTTTCCCCCTAGCCATGTTTTTTCCCTTGGAGGAACTCCCTATGGTCAGTTTATTGTGCATTTTTACAGAGCACTCTCATGGATTTTCAGACAGACTTGTTTTATAAATATACTGGGTTTTGTTTGTTTGTTTTTGGTCTTTTTGAGATAAGGTCTCCCCGTAGCCCCAGAAGGCCTGGAACTCACTATATAGATCAGTCTGTCCTTGATTTCACAGAGATCCACCTGCCTCTGCCTCCAGAGTGCTGGAATTAAAGGTGTGCACCACCACATCTGACATCATACACTTTCTACATTATATACACATCTACTGTTTGTTTCTATTTTTTACTTGTATTTCGAAGATATAAAAAATTAATACATAGAAGGCAGCATCATTCTTTTAAATGGCTGCTCTTAATAATAGCTTCATTCTATACAGTATTTTCTTTCATTCCATTTTGAATAGACCTTTCATCTGTTCCTAATTTTTTTTGTGGTTCTACCGAGTGAAGCTAGCACCTTGTGTACGCTAGTGGTAGTGCTCTACCACTTAAGCTGTAGCCTTAGCTCTGTTTCTAATTTTTTGCTCCTGAAAGTACTGCTGCCCTGACTCTTCTTGCTCCTGCCCCTGTAACTGTTTAAATGTTTTAATTTAATATAAACTGTGGTTTCTGAATGAAAGCTTATTTATAAAATTAATTTTAAATTCATTTTTGTTTTATGTGTATGAGTGCTTTGTGTGCACGAAGTGCATCAGTGCATGTAATGCCTGTGGAAGTCAGAAGAGGGTGTCAGATCCCCCGGAACTGGAGTTATGGTAGGTTAACCAGTCTCCAGTGTATGAACCTACATTGAAGGACATTTGGGGTCACAAATTAGATGCTATAGGCATGTATATATATATATATATATGAATATGAGCACATTAAATTGGGTGGGAGCAATAAGAGGAGGTGCTGATAAGGGAAGGGATCTAAATACTATCAAATTATATTGTATGAAAATCACAAAACTTCAGTTCAAAAATGTTAAGAAATTACACTTTGAAAAAAAAAAAGACTGAAGTCCTCAGAATCACTCCTGGCACTGAAAGACTTTGACATCTGGCTTCACGTGAGAGGCAGGAGCTCTCAAGCTAGGTCTGCCTTAGAGTCTCTGTGGATACTTTTAGTCTCCCCAGAGACTGTGCTTCAGTACGCCTGGGGCGAGGTCGGGAAGGGGCACTCTTCTAAATTTTCCCGGGTGATCTAATGGAACAGGAAGCAGGCAGTTGCTCATTTATAAAAATCTGCAGGAAATTCTAACATGCAGCAATGTTTGAAGATCATCGTCCTAAGGAATGGGGTTCTGTTTATTCAGTATGTGAAATAAACATAGGAACAATTACAGAGCCAATATTTACCATTAGGACACTAGGTTAGAATTATGTTCAGGTTATTTATACCAGCTTAGAAGGGTTCTCCTCATGCCTAGAGATTGGTACTTTCTCTAGAAGCAAAAATAATAAAATAACTCTTTTCTTGTTTTTAAGTAAAATTTAAAGCTGTTGCATGATCCAGATAATCTTCTTTTTCTTTTGAAAACAGACTAGCAGCATGACTAAATGTTATTATAAGAAGTTAGCCTTGATTTATGCTTTCTTTGTTCTGTAACCAATAAAAATCTCATGTAATCACTTCTGCAATGGAGCATGTGCTTTGGGGCAACCTGAGTCCCTGCCTTAAGGCCATGGCTGCTCATATTTGGCTCAAGATAAATTATCTCTTATTCCTTTTAAAAAAAAAGTGAACATAAACTTGGCCTGTCTCAGCTTTTAGCCTAAGACCTGCTTGCAGCTGTTCCTCCTCTAACTGGAAGCCTGTTCTCAGCTATTACATGTCAATTGTCTAACACTTATATTCTTAGGATTTAGAGTGCAATTCTAAAAAAAAAAAAATGAGTCCACTTACATACAGCCTGTAATTTCTGTAATTTGACCAAAGAACAGCTTTGTGTCTGGTTAGTTTTTATTCAGGAGTATGGATCAAATTGTGCTAGCAAGTCCTTTCTTGGCTTCTAATCAGAGAGCAAATGCAGAGAGAGGACTTATTTAGACTGCCGATTTTCAAGCTTCAGCCTAAATGTATGGCGTACATTGCTAGGTGCTGGGAAAGAAGAATAAAGAACAGACCTTAATGCATCCTCCAGGAGTCTGCGGGCAGAATGACTCGTCATTTTCTGCCTGGTCAAGCAACTTATCTGTAGTAGCCCCATCTTTGGAAATCA